GGTTGACAGAATCATCGCCACCGAATTCGCTTGTAAGAAACCAAGATATCGATCCTGTGGATGTTGAGAGCAGGCGATTGTTTATTACTATTAAAATTTTCAATTACTTTTGTAAGTTCAGGTCAGAGTCAGCTGAATCATCTTAAAAATATAATAAAAAACTTGCATTGTGAATGCGAACCCTACAGAACGCCAGAAACATATTATCAAAGCTATGCTGCGAACTAACGTACAAGTATTATTTACGAAAAAAATAAAAAATAAAACAACTTATACCTTCAATAAAAATGTCTAAACGTACTTATTATGGATAAAATAAATTGAAACAATGCACACAATAAAACAGAGAAACCGTTCTGCGGACAACATAATTTGTAGACATTTATTGCAGGTGGAATGTGAAATCACTTGAAAAAGAATAAGAAAAAAATAGACATCTAATTTTGTGTATCTATGGGAAAAGTTATTTTGGGTTAGTTTGGTATCTACATGCTCTTCCTAGATCTTTTCCATCTATTTTCGAGCTAAAACCCATTGACCAATCAGATTCTAAATTAGTGAATTTGTCTTGTAGATAGTTACCAAAAAGTTTATCGGAAGCTGAATAAACTGAGCGTTAATCAGATATGTTAATAATTTTGCTACACTTATTGATCTTTTCATAAACTATACTATCAAGTATGCAATCTCACGGATAAAAACGCGATATATAATCCCATTGGTCTACCAGTTATCCGCCAACCAATAAAATTATGAAACGGGTAATTTATTTTGTAGATAGTTACCAGCAAGTTTATCTGGAGATGAATAAACTGCGCCTAAAAAAATACACGAGACTGTTTTTTTAACTTGAAGTTAAGGTTAATCAACAAAAGAAACAGAGAAAAAGTTCAAAAGTTTATTTCCCTCATTGTTTGTTTCTAACCTTTAAAAATACTATTTTTTTTAAATACAATTCATTATTTTCAAACATTCACTGTCTCAAACTCAACCAAAATAGAAAATCAACTTCACTCCATGATGATAACAGGGTAGTCTACATAGCGAAAAAGGGTTAGCTCGTCATCTGCAGGACTGGTCAATCTTTTGGATCCTTCGGTTTTTTTGATTTTGGGAAAATTTGAATCTCCCTCATTTTTAGGCGGCTATAACCTTATTTTCAGTTGTCATATCATTGTCACTCATTTTGTAACCACAAAATCAGCATGGTCTTTTAAAACAAAATTAATTATTTCTTACGAGATTTTTTAAAAACTACCAAAGAAACCTGTTGCATAATGGTATATTTAATTTTAGAAGAAGGGTTTTGATATATTTTAAAATGTTGTAATGTGATGTCTTCGTTCCGTTACACTTCTATGTTCAATGAGCTGACTCCATGTACTAACCTGACGAAGTGAGTAAAAATTAACTTTCTTTAGTAGACAACTTATTAGTTCAACTGAACTCTTGAATAAGTCCACTTCCACTTTCATTTCTTAAGTCAATTTGACACTTGAGAAAGTAATTTTTTTCATAGGTACTTTCAGGTTGCACTGAGGATGGCGACGGCCGAAAGCGCTTTGCACTGATATTAATTATAGAAATTTTGCACGAAATACAAAGACTTTTTACTCATTAACTACCTCAACGTGCACACAGCCTTACACTTCAATTTAAGATGGTTTTAGCTGGCGCTATCTACTGGGAAAATATTGAAGCGAAACTATTGGTTCTGTCAGCTGTCACTAATCGGTCGGTAAACTTTTAATCTAGAAACCGCTTGTGCTTATTGATTTCTCACTCACCCATACAGGGTGAATCCGAAAGTGAGGCTTCTTTTTTAACAGGATGTATATCTCACCAAAATAAGTTGTTTGGCAGAAAATTGTTTATATAAAAAATTTAAGATAACGGAGGTACCTACAGCTATTTTGAGGTTAGAGGACACTTCCACTATAAATCACTTCGTTTACATTTTCTCAAAAAAAAAGCCGCAAAAAAGCCATTATTAGTCCAGCATAATGAGTCTTATTCCATAATAGGTACTCACAGTTGCATTATTCCATCAGAAAAAAATTCATTTTCAACCTATCAATTTTCGTTTTAAAGTGAAACAGACAAAATTTAGGAGGGAAATGAAGCATCAGACAAATGGGAATAATTTTGAACAATTTTTGTGATAATTTTTATCATATTTTCTCTAATAAATCTTAGATTATTGAAATTAGATTTTTAATGCACATAACCCTAAAATACCTGTACCTCCGTTATCTTAAATTTTTTATATAAACAATTTTTTGCCAAACAACTTATTTTGGCGAGATATATACCCTGTTAAAAAAAACCTCACTTTCAGATTCACCCTGTATAAGGCTTTATATTCATGGTTGCTGATTGCCCAATGCTGTCTAACTTGGGAAGTTTTACTATTGTGATGGTTTTCAAAAAATGTCGTTTTTGTCATAGTCCAAATATTGCTGCAAGGAACACTTTTAAAATTTCCCGGAACTCTTCCTAGCATTTCCCTGATGGGGAATTTCAATGAGGATTACTTTTTAATTAAATGGTTTGCACTTTCTTTAGACGATGTTTATCGCATGCATTCGCTTGAAATAGTAACAGAAACTTTGGAAGTCACTTGCAGCACTGTTGGAACTATTGTGAGCGTCACCTATTGGCAGACATAACTTTCAATACCACAGTAGATAAAACTTTCCATGTTTGAAGTTTAGGATGTGTTTAATTTGTGTATCTTGATAACATTACTTTAAATACGCTTTCAAATCTGAGGAGGGAGTTTTGCGGCACCCTGTACCTGCATCTGAACTTATAAAATCTTTTATCCTGAATGACTGATCTATCAACAGAAAACTACTAAGTCTAGATGGAAAGCTGAAATTTGGAACATAGGGTTATTTTTTTGACGACATCAGCGTCCTTTAAAAAATAATTTTTGGAAAATTAAACTTCAAAAGAATGGGGGGACGGTGGAATGGAGAGGAAACTTAATGATAGTTTTTTTTTTTTTTTTTTAAGTTAGAAACATGATAATTTGAAATACAACTACTGAGCATGAATAAAAAATGACGTATTTTGTGTTTCAGGGTTTCTGGATTTTCACAATTTAGGGCGGGAAACGGGGGGTGAAAGTTTTTATGGGAGAATCGGTTATTTCAAACACAACTCCACAGTAGTTATTTATTGAATTTATTCAATATTCCCCGAAACACCTTGGAAATTTTTGCAGTGATTAATTAACTAGGACTAAGCATTGAAATAAACTTCAACAATTTCATTGAAGTCTAATGTGTGCAGTCAGAGTGTACTTGATGCAATTATTAGGGGCAGCAATAGGAGCCGAATACGTTTCAGTCGTTATCTCGAATTTCAATGTTCCAAATCACATGACGCAATGTATAAGCAATGTTGGTCTTTTGAGACATCCTCACATATTTCAGGTCGTGCTCGATCTAACAATACTTTCTCATCATTGCACAATAACTCGCAATCTACAGGGTGTGTCAGAAAAACAAATTCAAATGTTGCATGGATAGTTTGCCAATCCACATCAGCAGCTTTTACTTATATTTTAAAAAGCAATTTCATTACCGGACCTTCAAATAAAAAGAGCAGTGGTTTCTATGGATTGAATAATGCATTTGATTGGTGCAAAAAGTCGCGTTCATTAGACCTTCAGACATAATTTTATTTAGGTATGACTCCGACGCACTTTTTTCTACCTTTCTATTAGCTTTTAATTTAAACGCTCGGTAGCTCGGTTCATCACATTTCCAAAAATATCACCTGCATTTTTTTCCATTATAGGTATAGGGTAGTTTTGAGTTTTTTAAACCCAAATAGCTGACAATAAAAATAGATAGGTATCTTACTAAATGTTCTTTCAAAGCAAGTTCAAACATAATTAAGTTGAAGTTTTCCAGATTAAAAATAAGTTTCTCACTTGATGAGATCATTTTAACTTTCATACTTGAAAAGTTATTGCAAATACGCTATATATTTTTTTGTCTGGATTTGAGTTGAGTAGAAACCATGTTCTTAGGGACGAAAACACAACACACACAACACATATTTTATGTTCTGGCCCTGCTCTGCATAATCGTATTTTTATGTGGTATTGTTCAAAAACCTTTTCGAAGCTAAATCTGAGGATTCGCCTGGATAATTAAAATTTCAGGCTGATGGCCTTTATATGGCATTTTGTAGACCTTTCAATACAAATAACAACGAAGCGGATAATTTGGAGAGGAACTGGAAGTGGGCGGATTTTTCGAATTGAGAATAAAAAAACTCAACGGGTTTATTTTCAATTATTTTTATAATTCATTGTTTTAAGAGTTAGTCGGTATGTTATAGGAAAATCTCTTTGATGGTGGTAAAGTTATTCCAAAAATCTAGCTAAATAAAAATTGAATTTTTCATGCTGCTTCAATTCATATCCTATTCACTTTGAAAGTTATCCATACATACGTAGAAATTTATTAGGTTAGAAATCTGATTCATTAGGTAGTTATATGGTATTATCAACTGCACAAAGAACAGGCAACAACGGAGTGGCTGGGCCGGCTCACGGACAGACTGACCGAGAGATTGAATAATACATACCTACATGATTTTTTGACAAAACTGATAATTTTTTCCACGAATATTAATTCGTACAATAGGTAACTATTTTCTTTGAAAGCAAGCAAAATCAACAAGTGATATCCAATAACTTTAATGAGCATCTTCCTTTGTTTTTTACTCTTCAATCTTCAATTTTTTTTTGTTAAAAAATAATTTCTAATTTTTTTTTTTTTTTGCATGTCTTGCGGTCGGAAATCTCTGAACATTCACGGAAACACAGATTTTCAATATTATGCTGAATTCGAGTTTGCTCGTCACGACGAGGTAGGTACCAATTTTCCGGATAGTTTTTTTGTCAAATATCATATTTTTGCGGAAAATTATTAAACAACATAGATAAAACTATCTAACACAAAAAAAGTTGTTTAGCTTACCGAAAACGCCAAAAAAACACCCACAATTAGCTGTCACCAATACAAAAACTAAAAACAAGTTTGTTTCCGAAAGCGCGAATTTGTTAGGAAATGTCATCGCGAAAGCGCTAACGACTGATCCCACTGTGGGAGCGTCACGTGCCGATCTTTCCGGCAACCACGAAAATTCTGACGAAAATCCGGGACTCCGAATTGCACTCGGAGCAGCGCAGAATCACTAAAACCACGTGCTTTTCAGAGATCTAGACGTTATATTGTTTGCTTGAACCGTAGATTCTTGTTTTAACAATGAAAAAATATTGCCCTTGTTAGCTGTGGTGAGTTATGTAAACGGCTACCTCACAGAATAGATGTTTTTCGGCCGTTATCGCATGGACTACATTTTATGATTAGTCTATAAAAAAAAACGACATTGCACGCTAGAATAGTAAAAAAAAACTCTTAAGAGCAGTGACAAATATATTTTTTCAAATATATTATAGAGTAAGAACAATTCAGTGGGTAACTATGTCCCGACTTGTAGGAAGTTTACCTGTAGTAAGTAGGTACTTTTTGTTAAAAATTTAATAAAACACGTCAATTTTGATTAATAGGCTAATTTGGCGCATTTATGAGATACTTTTACGAACATTAAACCCAAATTGAAGGGCCTACCAGCGTTGAAAAATGATATACATGTTTAAAACCATTTGTTCCTACAAAAACTCTCCAAAAATCCGTTTTTCTCCAGACAAAATCCCAATCGAAACTAAAATTAATACATAACATGGCGATGCCTTTCTGCTGATATTAATCGAATTGCATGTTCAATAATGCGCTGCTGAATTTCTGATTTTGTGTCATTAAATATTTTTTATAAGTAAAGCACAATGGTGAAAAAACAATTTTTCAGGTCACTGTTTGTAACAAAAATGAATAAAAATGCATCCAAATAATATACGTGATTAAACACTGCATGTGCATTAACTATTCCCAAAATTTTCTATAGGGACATTTCAAGTAATTTTTCATGTTGTTCTGAGACAGTTTATCGGATACATTACAAATCACCACATAAACTTGACAACATATCGCGTCTTGCTACAGTAGGATAGCATAAAACATTGACGGCGTATCACGTCATGTCCCAGTAAGTAGAACGGCAAATGCCGTCTGGTCCGCGAACGTGTTAAAATCATGAAAAAAGTAACCCTGTCAAATGCAAATGCAACAGGAGTTAACAGGAGATGCTCCTGATCGCCGTCTACAATATTGTAACACAACTGATAGATGATAGAATAGCTGCTGAAAATCCTCAATAGGTGAGAGAAACTCACACTCAACATTCTCAAAAACCTAATGCTTAGAATGAGATAATAGGCCCCTTGCATCAATTTTTTTTTATTGCGGATTTCGTTTATCAATGAAAAATAAGTCAACACGTGTTTTTTCTTTTTTTTTTTGTTAGACAAAAATTGACGGAGATACAACGCTTTGAAATGTACTTATTTTTCATATCCTATGACGTCACACCATACTCAGTATATCTATATATACAAAACTTAATCTTTGTATAACTTTCGGAAAAATCATATTTGGACAAAATAAAAAAATACGTTCCTATAGTTTTTTTTTCGATTTCCTACAGTTTGCAATGAAAATTTATCAATTTAATTTTTCATGCAAGGTCCCTATTTGCGAACGAATTGGAGGTCCAATATTTTTCAACGAAAGCCTCAATGGACCAGAATATTTGAAGCTTTTACAACAAGGCATCAACCCAATTTCAAATGCTTACTTTCCAAACAACAGGAACAGGACCTAGTTCGAGAAATATGGTGCACCGCCTCATTATGTCCCAACTGAATTGTACGTGTCAATCAAGTTGTTGCTAATCCATGGATTCGAAAAAGAGGTGCTATTATAGAATGGCCAAAAAGCTCCCCCGATATGAATCCATCAGATTTTTTTTCTTAAGGGCCAACTCAAAACAAAAGTATATCGCACTTAACCAGAAAGTTTGGAAGATCTTCGCCAACGCATTACACATTGAATTCATGAAAACATAAAGGACGTCGCTCATTATGTGAGTCCTTAATATATAAACGTACCTACGAAGAAGAAAAAGCCCTTTCTCTCACAAATATTTTGTTGTTTCACAAGAAAGTTTAAAAAAGGGCTTCTATCATTTCTGTCTAAATATAACATACTAACTGCCTATTCACGAATTTCGATTTTTGACCAACAGATGCACTATTGATGCTATGTTCTCTGTCTTCAATAATGTCTTCTCTAGCTTAAACAATCTGCACTTTACAGCAAAAATTTTCTTTGATTTTTTCTAAGCATTCGACTGTGTAAGTCATAATATCCTGATTACCAAATAGTAGTATTACGGAATCCGAGGCTCCTCTCTGGAATGGAATGGACGGTTCAAGTCGTACCTATCTTGACAACAAAAAATAGCTTGTGAGGATTGATACGACCATGTCTTCATGCATGCCAGTAGAATGTAGAGTTCGACAGGGTTCCGTGTTCGGTCCAATATTATTTTTGCTATTTATCCACGACGTTCCTAGTCTAGGCATCAGCGGTAAATTATGTCTTTTTGCTGATGATTTGATGATACTAGTTTCACTTGAAGCAACCCGGATATTGTAGCTTTTCATAAAACCATGTCCAACGACTTGTTTGCCATTACTTCATGGTGCGACTCTAACCTCCTCTGCTTCAACGCTGCGAAAATTGAAGTTCTGTTACATAAATGTGCGTTGCAACCTTTGTACTTAATAACACCACTACTATTGACGTGTTTTATTCTGTGAAATTTTTGTGCCTTACCAATCTACAGGTGTTGAAATTTTAATGTATTCATATTGGATGTGAGCAAGAATATGGTGGCGAGGGCGTGGCTTACTTCTAGATTCCTATTGAAAATGAGCAAGAATATGGCGCTGGGACCTCTGCCTAGCTTTATTGTCGCCACTATAGGTAGAAAAGGTTTATTGAGACACTGTAGTTTTATTTAGCTAATTACAGAGATTTGTTTTCTATTTTTTTTTTCTCTATAAGGCTCGGTGATTCAAAAAAACTACAAGAGAACAAAAAGTTTCCAAATAAGGTAGAACATTTATTTTGTTTCTTATAATCTGCCAGCGGCGCACCGTAAAAAAGTTCAGGGACAGAAAAGGAGGCGTGACCCCTGAAAAAAAACATCACCCTGTAGATTCTGGCGAACGTTTGACATGTGCAAATATTCAGCTCTTATCCCGTAACCTATATTCCAAATTTGAGCTGAATCCCTCAAAAATTCCAGGAGCTATGAAGAAAAAAACTAAAAAAATATTGAAATTTCAACAGATCGGTAACGAAGCGTTTGCGGACCTGTTTATTAGAAATTTTAGTCATAAAATAATGTTTGTACATGATATTTAGGAACACCCTGTATAGCAATGGAGCTGGCACATCGATTCCTTATACAGAAAATTGAGTTCCGCTTGTTTTGCGATAAGATCAGCTTCCAAGGGACTTAACTGGTCAACTGTACTCCTTAGAACAAACAGTCTACTTTGCCCTTTCCAATTCACATCATCGTTACGCCCTTCAATTCTGGAGTGAGTGCTGTACGAGTAAATTTGAGCGTATTTTTAAATTACAAAAAAAGAGCCATTCGATATTCTCTTAAATTACAGAATAGAGCCCATTGTCAAGAATTTTCCAAAAATATAAAATATTAACATTCCTTCCCAATTCATATTAAAATCAGTCTGCTCAATCCGCAAACACCTATCCAGTATTTCAGAAATGCCATTCCATAACCTACCCACTTAGAAACGCAGAGCATGATCTTTATTTGCGAACCACATCCTCCGAGTTAATTAAGAACTCCATTCTATACAATGCAAAAAAATGCACAATGATCATCTGCCTGTAGTGATGAAGTCCATAGCATCTCTTCATAAATTCTGCATAGCTCTAAAATCATATTAATTAGAGAGAAGAGAGGCTTATTATACATATAAGATAAATGACTTTTTTTCTCAACACATAATTTTCAACGTTCCATACTGTTACGGGATGATTTTATGGGGCGCCATATGTTCCATAATTATTTCGTCTTATATGTAAAATATTTCGCAGGAAAAACAATATATAGATAAAAATGACCACTATTTTGCATATATTTAAAATAAAAAATAATATTTATATCGAATTTAGCAGCATGCAAAGTTCGATATATATAAAATAACTTTGAAAAAATAAATATATTGAATTTGGCCCCACGCAAAATTCAATATTTATAAAACTTGAAAAAATATTATATATATCGAATTTGGCACCGTGCAAAGTTCGATATATATAAAACTTTGAAAAAATATATATATTGAATTTGACCCATGCAAAATTCAATATTTATAAAATATGAAAAAATATTATATATATTGAATTTGGCATTGTGCAAAGTTCGATATAAAACTTTTTAGTTTGAAAAGTCCCCGAGAGATGGCGCTACCTTTGATCATAATTTTTTTGTGTGTATGGTGTGTTGAATTGAAATAAGGTATTTTGGAGGGCCGTTGATTTGTAATTTAAATAGCTGCAATTAGGGTGCATTGATAATTGCGTGATGATAATTATGTATTGTCATAAGCGCGGCAACGGCAACACTGGTGAATGATAACTGAGGTTGTGTTGTGTTCCTTTCCTTCCATTTGAGTGCCCGCCGCGCTCGCGTATCGCCTAAAGTTAGTTTTTTATTTAAAGATAATTCCCCAATTAAAAAATTTACTAAGTAACTATAGGCGTATTTTAGCGAGAATTTTAACCCAGTAGTATGTTGTATTTACTTGGGATACTACATTTTAGCGACAGTGTTGCCAGATGAATTTTAAAAAAATCGTGAGAATCGAGAGAAAAAATTGTGAGAAATCGTGAGACCAAAAATTGCTTAATATTGTAAGAAAATAAAGGACAACAATGTTTTTTGCATAGATTTTTGACAAAGTAAACATGATTTTACATCCATAAGAAATGAACATTTTATTATTGAATCTTGTATACTTGTTTTTTCCGTTCTTTAGCAAGTGTTTTTGAGAGCTGAACCTCGTTTTCACTATCCGCTATCCGAGTGACGTCACCACTATCAGCAACTAATATTGGTGATGTCATCCGCAGACCTC